AATTTGGGGGATTAAAACAAGAGATTTAAAGGGAGTTGGAAGCAATGAATTACCCACGAGAAGGGCAAGAAAATAAAAATAAAAAACGAGGGAAGGAAGACACAGGTATGATTTGCACTGGATTGGTAATCTCAGACTGGGCAACTTTTTTAAAAAAAACACTTTACTAAACTTTTATTACATTAAAAACATAAAAAATTATATCACTTAGCAAGAGCTATTTGTGGTGTTTTTCTTGTAATAGTAATTTGTGTGTTATTTACAAAAATTAAATTGTGCGTGTTTACATTCTTATTTTATCTATTACTTATACTTAATAACTATCTATATTTAATCTATCTCCGTTCTATCCAGTTATACCACTGTTCCCACACATTGTAAAGTATCGATGCCTCTTTATCTTTTAAACTCAGCGTTAATTTGTCCATTTCTGTGCAATTCATGACCTTTTGTATGACAAGTTTCTCTGTGGGAGTGTATGGCTGTTTCCAACATTGAGCGAAGGCCATCCTGGCAGCGGTTAATATGTGTAGTACTAGATATTTTGTGTTCTTCACAGATATTTTTTTTGAAGATCCCCAATAGAAAGAGTTCCGGTTCTAAATCTAATTGTTCATTACAGACTGGGCAACTTTTAAAATGGGTAGACTTCAACTCCCAGAATTCCCCATGCATGCATGGGGAATTCTGGGAGTTGAAGTCCACCCAAGTTGCCCAGTTCGAGAAACACTGATTTGTGTAAATCACCATTTCGTCTGTGGGATTGATTGGATGATTTCCAGAGAAAAGTTTATGGACTTTGCAAATTGAAATATCAATAGTTTCTGTTGGGTTGATGTATTGTTGCTCAAAAGTGGCTTGAACATGCAATGTTTTGCAGCATTCGCACAACACACTAAACCTGGGTTTTAATCTGGGTTAGTTTGGAGGGGGGTTATCAGGCTGTTTAGAAGCAGCCCTCTTGGCTAGTTTACGATTCAGGGCCCTGGAGAAATCTCAAAATAAGGAAATTAATTGGCTGGGTTAAAAGGTGTTGTGTGAATGGCGCCGAGGGAACCCGAAGTTTTGATTTATTTATATTTCATCTTTGCCATTCAGGAGAAATTTTAAGATTTGTTTTTTTTGAGGAAAAAAAAAAGGGAGGAAAAATGTTCCCTCAGGCAAAGTTCATGTATCACGCTCACCTCTACTTTTCTGCGGGTGGAAGGTAAATTAGCATGTTGTCTGCAATCATGGTTTATTGATTTAAACCATGGTTAAATAAAAAATATGTCTTCACTGGCCATAGCAAAGTAGTTTTCCGACTTATTTTTTTATTTCATTTCATTTCATTTCATTTCATTTCATTTCATTTCATTTCATTATTTTATTTTATTTTATTTTATTTTATTTTATTTTATTTTATTAACCACAGCTGGCTGGCAGAAGAAACCTTTCATTCCTATTATTAATCGATATTGAATTAAGATTAATCAAGATTAAAATGTCATATATATATATATATATATATATATATATATATATATATATATATATATATATATATATATATATATATATATATATATATATATATATATATATATATATATATATATATATATATATATATATATATATATATATATATTGCTCTTAGCCAATCAGCGGCTAAGTAATTCAATTTCCCCCCCCCAGCCCTCGCCCGCAGAACTCGAGTTAAAGGGCGGGGTTTTAGGGAAAGGGGCGGAGCAAGAACGCTAGCGCGCATGCGCTCCTCCTCTCTCCTTTCTCCCTATTTGTGTTGTGGGGCTAAAGGTAAACCCTCCGCGCTTTCCCGCTCTTTTCGCCTTCCTTTCCCTCCCCGCCGTTCTCCTCCCGCCTATTATCTCCTCCGCGCAGGCGTCCCAGGAGAGGCGCTTCCTGCTCTTCCGCCCTCTCTTTTGCCCTTAACGCCTCGCTGCGCAGGCGCGGGCGGCCTCGCGCCCATCCTCCGCGCCGTCGCGTCAGGGGTTCTTTTTAGGCCGCGCTTTGCTTTTCCCCGCCGTTTTTTTTTTTGGTGTGTGTGTGGGGGGGTTGTCTGCGCAGGCGCAGTAGCGTCGTAGCGGTTTTTTTTTAAAGTCTCGGGTCACGCATCATTGGGGAGGCTGTGGGGGGCTCGCGGTCGCCTTCACCATGGGGGTAAGGGGGGGTTGAGGGAGGGGGAAGGGCTGGAGTCGGAGGGGGGGTTTAGGAACCGCGAGGGGGATATAACGTGTGAGGAGGGGGCCACAAATGGGGGGGGAGCTGAATGTAAGGGGGGGATTTTGGGGGGGGAATTTGAGGTAATGGGTTGAAAAGCCTGGCCTGGGTGGGGGTGAGAAAGAATGGAGGGCCAGGCTATAAATTGGGGAGGGGGGCTGTGGGAGGGGGATAAAACGAGATAAAAACTAGATGGGGGGGGGCTTGTCAGGATCAAGATGGGGGGGGGAAGAAGAAGAAATGGGTGTCTTGTATTTATTATTCTAATTTATTTATACAGCTGCCCACCTGATAAGATAGTTTTAGTATATATAGCCCTTAAGGGTGGAAATGGGGGGGGGAGAGGGAGGGTCGGGGGGGGCTTGTATTTTAAATATTCAGCAGAGTTTGCGGAGGTGGGGGGAGGGGAAGGAGGGATGTTTATAAAAATCTTTGGAGTGACTTCTCCCCCTTCCTGGCCTCCAGATGGTGCTAAACTACAGTTCCCATCCTCCACAGCCAAAGAGGGCATCTTACAAAGTCAAGGGGGTTTGGTTTGGGTTGAAAAGAGGATATTGGACAGATGATTGAGAGAGACAGACAGATAGATATAGACAGACATGGCTGGATAGATTGGAATGATGGCTGGCTAGTTAGCTAGAAGATGGATAGATAGATGATGGCTGGATAGATAGATGATGGATAGATAGTATAGATAGATATAGACAGACATGATGGCTGGATAGATTGGATGGATGTCTAGATAGATGATGGATAGATAGATAGATAGATAGATAGATAGATAGATAGATAGATAGATAATGATGGATAGATAGGATAGATAGATATAGACAGACATGGCTGGATAGATTGGATGGCTGGATAGATAGATGATGCATAGATAGATACATGATGGCTGGATAGATATAGACAGACACGATGGCTGGATAGATTGGATGGATGGATAGATGATGGCTAGATAGATATAGACAGACATGATGGCTGGATAGATTGGATGGATGGATAGATAGATGATGGCTAGATAGATAGATGATGGATGGATAGATAGATATAGACGACATGATGGATGGATAGATGATGGATGGATAGATAGATAGCTGATGGATGGATGGACAGATAGGTAGGTTGGATGGATGGATGGGTAGATAGGTAGATAGATATAGATAGACGTGATGGCTGGATAGATTGGATGGCTAGATAGACACAGTGTCAGGTTTCGATGTTGAAGTGCTGACACACAGATGATGGATGGATGGACGGACGGACGGACAGACAGATATAGACAGATGATGGATGGATGGATAGATAGATAGACAGACATAGACAGTCATAGACATATAGATAATAGTAGTAGATAGACAGATGTGGGCAGACATAGATAAATAGATAATAGATGTTTTGCCCCTTTTTCTGACCTTGCCACAATTGTGAAGTGATTCACTGCCGTTGTTAAATGAAGAGCACGGTGATTAAGTGAATCTGGCTTCCCCCCTTGACTGCTTGTCAGAAGGTTGTAAAAGGGGATCTTGCATGATCTCAAAAATAGATACGAGTCCGTTGCCAAGCATCTGAATATTGATCACATGAGAGTGGGAAATGCTGTAATGGTCGTAAATGTGAAAAATGGTCATAAGTCCCTTCCCCCCCCGCCCCGTTCATGTTGTAACTTTGAACAGTCCCTAAATGAACTGTTGAAAGTCGAGGACTACCTGTGTAAGCAGTGGTGAAATGTAAAATTTGTTGCTACCAGTTCTGTGGGCGTGGCTTGGTGGAGACCATGTGACTGGGTGGGCGTGGCTTTATTTTATTTTAAAAAAAAACTTTTTTAAAGCATTTTTTACTACCGGTTCACGCGAACTGGAGCAAACCGGTAGCATTTCACCCTTGCTGTGTAGTGTGTATAGAGCCTCTTACATCATTTACCAACTCTGCTTTCACATTCTCAAGTGACTTCCTAGTCAAGCACACACACAATGAATTGGAAAAGGTGGCCTTGCTTGAACTTTTGAGGGATGGAAGGGTTGCAGGGAGGTTAAACAAATGCATATTTCTGGCTTGAAAGCACCAGAGCTGCTGAATCATCAGCCTGGCAGAAAGTTTGGATTTTTGTTTTGTTGTTAAAAAAAGGAGCATTTCCAAGGCACATTTGTGTGAGCTTGCAGTGGTAGAAACGAGGGGGGGAAAAGTTATAGGATCAAAGCTGTGGGAGGCCTGGATTCCTGGTAAGATTTGCTTCCTTGTTCTCGAAAGCTGCATCACGGCACATTTTGAATCCCCGAGAAACAGCCTCCAAATTAAAAAAAAAAAAAAAATTAGAGGAGTTAAAAGTGTTTCGGATAGCCATGAGCTGGGAAACGATGCTGCATTAAGGAAGTAGAGTTTGGAGCGTTCACTTGTTTATTCACAACTTTTTTAAAACAAAAACCTCACATTTTGATTGGCTTAATCCACAGAAAGTTTAGTTTATGAACTGGGGATGTTATTGTTAATCAGGGATGTTTTATTCTTTTGTTGCTGTAATAGAGATAAGCTTTTGATTGACAGCTTTTATTGATTTAGCAGAATCCTTCGGTTGGTCAAGAGTTTTATTGTATTGTATTATTTTATTTTATTTTATTTTTATTATTTTATTTTTATTTTTATTATTTTATTTTATTATTTTATTTTATTATTTTATTTTATTATTTTATTTTATTTTATTTTATTTTATTTTATTTTATTTGGATCATATAACGGTGGGAACGCTCTCAACGGTCATAAGTGGAAGCACTGAAGATGAGTTCCTTTTTTTGTAATTTTGAGCATTCATTAAACAAATGGTTGTAATCTGAGGACTACCTGAATTTCAGGCCTTTGCAGAAAATGCAGTCTAGAGTTACAACAGTTCATTTAGTGACCATTCAAAGTTACAACACCCCGGAAAAAAAGCGACTTGTGAGTGTTTTTCTACATTTATGACCGTTGCAGCATCCCTGTGGTCACCTGATCAAAATTCAGAGGCTTGGCAACTGACTCATACTTACGACCATTGCAGTGTCCTGGGGTCACTAATCCCCTTTTGCGACCTTCTGACAAGCAAAGTCGATGGGGGAAGCCAGATCCACTTAACGACGGTGTTACTAACTTAACAACTGCAGTGATTCACTTAACAACCGTGTCAAGAAAGGCTGTAAAATGGAGGGGGGAAATTCACTTAACGACTGTCTCACTTAGCAACATAAATTTTGTGTTGCTCCATTGTGGTTGTAAATCGAGGACCACCTGTGCGGTGGAAGAAGCCTTCATAGATGGGGAACTGTTCAGTTTTGTTTGTGTGTTGTGTCTTAGCATTTCAACCCTCCTGGTTGCAGAGGAAGTCCAGTAAAGGGAAGGAGAAGAAGCAGAAACGATTGGAGGAACGGGCAGCCATGGATGCTGTCTGTGCCAAGGTTGATGCAGCAAATAAAGTGAGTTTTTTTTCTCCTTTTTTTAATTCTACATCTTTATTATTTTACCATGCAAAGTATGCCTTATTTTGCAGCTTCTTCCTTGCGGCTATAAAAAGAAAACCTTGTATAAAACCAAATTAGTATACCGTATTTTTTTGGAGTATAAGACCCACCTTTTTCCGCCCCAAAAAGGGGGTGAAAATTGGATGCGTCTTATACTCTGAATGTAACCCCACCCAGCCTCCCAAACAGAGATTTCAGAGGCTGAAAGAAGCCTCTGAAAGAAGCAACAGAAAAAAAGCCTCTGAAAGGCATATAATCTAAAATAATATGGCAAGCAACAAAAGAAGAATCAGTAAAGGTTCTAACCAAACTATGTTATCAAATCTGGAGAATGACACAATAACCAACAGATGGGAAGAGGTTAATCTACCTACCAAAACCAAAGAAAGGAGACTGAACAGAGTACAGATAGTCCTTCAGAATAAAAGCCTCTGAAAGAAGCTTCAGAAAAAAAGCCTCCAAACAAAGCGTCAGAAAAAAAGCCTCTGAAAGAAGCGTCAGAAAAAAAACCTTTTTTTCTGAAGCTCTGTTTCGGAGGCTTTCAGAGGCAGAAAAAAAGTTTTTCTGAAACAGTTTAAGTTTCAGAGGCAGGAAAAAAAGCAAGGCACAGAGCTCACAAGTAATGAACCTGTTGCTAAAATTCACCTCTGGAAACAGCTAATTGGGGGTATTCTGGGAGGCGATCCACCTGCCAATCAGCTTTTTTCATATTTTCCTCCCCAAAACCTAAGGTGCGTCTTATACTCTGAAAAATATGGTAGTTAAAACCTGGGGAACGGTGCAGTGCAGCCATGTCCAACCTTGGCTGCTTTAAGACTTGTGGACTTCAGCTCCCAGAATTCCCATAGCTGGCTGGAGAATTCTGGGAGTTGAAGTCCACAAGTCTTAAAAGTTGCCGAAGTTGGACACCCTTGATGGTAGTGGTTAGAAAAGCAACTTGATTTTCGATTCCGCTCAACGCCTCTGTTCTGAAACTTGAATGGCTTTAACCCCAATAATTGCATAATTTAGAAATGTGTGATGTAGGGAAAATAAAGCTTTCCTGAACAGGCAGTCCTCATGACTTACTGGGAGTAGAATTTCCGTTGCTAAGCAAAGCAGCTGTTAAGTGAGTCCTGCTGATTTGATTGACCTTCAGTGATACTGTTTTTATAATATAGGTAGTCCTCGACTTATGACCAAGGTTATTCTTTGAATCCAGCTGTTGCCTTCTGTTTTATGGTTGCCTGCTGGTAATCACCAAGCCTTTGCTTAGCAACCTGTCCAGACCAAATTTGAAAGGCTGACTCCTGGGGATTGAAGCATTATTTTTAAACCCTGTTTTGAAGGTGGGAGAATACAGATCCGTGAGTTTATTTCTTGCCTGACGAGAACAAATTGGTGAGATTGAAATCTTTGTCCTTTAGGAGGATTCTGGTGTTTTAGAGAAGGAATGGATTAAGCCACTTGGAGGATCTGATTATTATTAGACACTAGTCAGAATAAAGATATATAAATAAACATTTTAATTTTAACAAAGGAAAAGGCAAGCAGAGGAAGGAGCTGAAGAAAGGAAGTCCCCCCCCACCACAAAAAACTGTCTGATCTCTGCCCTGCAGGTCTACTTATGAACAAGACACTTTCTATCACATTGAAATTAAGGCAGTTTAGCTGATTAATTACTGCAGAGAATGCGATCAGCTGAAGGTAGTCTACCTGCATCAGGTAGTCCTCCACTTACAGCCATTCATTTAGCGACCATTTGAACTGAAATAAGTGACTTACGACTGGTCTTTGCCCTTAACGACTTTCAGCCTCCCTGCAGTGACGTGGTCAGAATTCAGGATCTTGGCAACTGGCATGGATTTAGGATGGTTGCAGCATCCCAGAGTCACATGATCCCCTTTGGGGATCTTCCCAGATGACTTCCGACGAGCAAAGTCAGCATTTTATTTAACCTTGATAACATAACAAAAGCCAGACTTTTTATTGTCTTGATCTTCTAACCCAACTTCAATTAAAAACTCCGAGACAGGCATTTTCTCAAAGTTCCCGTTTAATAGAGTAGGTATGCTGGCACATCTGGGAAAACCCAAATCTGAGAGTTCCGGGTTTCCCCTCAGTAACTCAAAATCGAAAATCCATCCTCCTGCGGCCATCACCTGGCCCAATCATCATCCATCCCAACTTGAGCCATCACTGCGACCAGTCCTCCTCCAGATGCAGGAACACCATGACCTTGACCGAAGGGTTGGATCTAGGTTGGATCTCTCTTTTATGATCTTCCCACCCATTACTTCGTGTCCTGCCTTCAGGTGCTTTGGAGGTGGACCCCCTCTTCCTTTTGGCAGCCCCTCAGAGATGGAACACTCCCTCACTATTCATTAGTTTGTCTAATGACTTTCTTTCTTTGTACAGCTGGGAGACCCCTTGGAAGCTTTTCCCGTGTTCAAGAAATACGATAGAAATGGGTGAGTAAAAAGCCTGTGTCCTTTTTTTCAAGGGGAGTGTTTCGAATTCAAGCCTCTCCCTCTGTGACAAATACCGCATTTTTCGGAGTAGGAGACGCGCTCCCTCCCCCCCCCAAAAGAAGGTGAAAATTTGGGTGCGTCTTATACACCGAATGTAGCCAAAAACATGAGGCACTGTGGCAGCGATGGTCTGTGGCAATCCCTGCAGCCTGGAGCAGCTGATTGGGAGTATTCTGGGAGGCCAATCAGCTGCTCGTGCTGAATCAGGCTGCAATAATGTGATAATAAGCTGACCTGTCTGTTTGCTATTTGCTGCAAGGACTCAAAGTTTGAAGCAGCAATCACATCCAGAAAGCACACACAAGTAACTGATTCAGCAGGATTCAATAACTTCTCTTTATATATAATATAACACATGAAGTAAATATACAATACCAGAATCAGGTTTTCCAATGTGGTAGTAAATACAAGCAAAACACAAGCAGAGGAGAGGAGTTTCGGTTTTGAGCAGCAGACTAGCACTAGCTCAGTACAGACTCAGAGCTGCAGAGCTAAGCCACGCCCAGGTTCCTTGCTGTCTCCTTCCTTGTTGCTCACACAGCAAATACTGTTTCAGTTTCCAAACAGCCCTCAACTCTCACACACTGACAGGACGCTAGCCAGATGAATACCGATGGATGCTGGTAGGCAGAGGCAAGATTTTTCTTTTCTTATTATTTTCCTCCCCAAAAACTAAGGTGCGTCTTATACTCCGAAAAATACGATAATTGCACAGCCTCACTCTTGTCCTGTTTGTCCGCTGCTTGGCATTTCCTATCTCGCAACCCCCCCCCCCCAGATTTAATTGCATTTCCACAGGTAATCCTAATTTACAAATTGTTCTTTCGTTACAGACTGAACGTTTCCATCGAGTGCAAACGCGTCTCCAGTTTGGATCCGGCTATTCTTGACTGGGCATTTGAGCTGACGAAAACAAACATGCAGACTTTGTAAGACCATAAAGGATACCCAGGGATAATGGGAGGCCAGCGGGGCAGCCATGACCAGTAATTGTGGTATGAGCAAAAGGAGTTTCAATCTCACACTCTCTGGTTCAAGAGCCAAAATATTTGATTTTTAAGAGGGGGTGGGGGGGAAGTGCTCAAAAGTACAGGTAGACCTCGACTTACAACAGGCTTGTTTAGTGACCGTTCCAAGTTAACAACAGCACTGAAAAAGCGGCTTACAACTTTTTCACACTTACGTGATTTTAAAAATTCAAATGCTTGGCAACTGACTCGCATTTATGACGCTTGCAGTGTCCCAGGGGGAGTCACATGATCATCCTTTGGCGACCACCTGACAAGCAAAGTCAATGGGGAACCCCCGATTCACTTAACAGCCGGGTTAATAACGTCACACCCGCAGGGATTCGCTTAACAATCGTGGCCAGAAAGGCTGTAAAAATGGGGGCAAAACTCACTTTTAACAACTGTCTCGCTTAGCAACAGAAATGTTGGGCTCAATTGTGGTTATAAGTAAGAGGATGACCTATACGAGGATCCGTGGCAAGCCATTTTTCAGCGTTGTAACTTTGGACGGTCAGTAAATGAATGGTTGCAAATCAAGGATTACCTGTAGTGACTTCTGAATATGATCATTGTACAAAGGTTGATCATCCCATCCTTAAGGATCGTCTCGTTTCTGTTTTTGTTTTTTTTTTCCCTGTTCTCCTTCAAAGGTATGAGCAGAGCGAGTGGGGATGGAAAGACCGGGAAAAACGGGAAGAAATGACTGACGACCGGGCTTGGTACTTAATCGCTTTGGAAAACGGCTCCCTGCCTGTGGCGTTCTCGCATTTCCGCTTCGACGTCGAATATGGGGAGGAGGTTCTCTATTGGTAGGACTTCCCACTTGGAATTTCAGCGGGTGGATTGCCGGCTTCAGGCAGGAAAGTCGAAGGGAATGGAATAGAAATAGAATAAAATAAGAATTAATGGAAGGGAATAGAAAATATGAAATGGGATGGGATGGAATAGAATAAGAGTAGACTAGACTAGACTAGACTAGACTAGACTAGACTAGACTAGAATAGAATAGAATAGAATAGAATAGAATAGAATAGAATAGAATAGAATAGAATAGAATAGAATAGAATAGAATAGAATAGAATAATAGAAAAGAAAAGAAAAAAGAAAAAAGAATAGAAAAGAAAAGATAGAATAGAAGAATAGAAAAGAAAAGAAGAAAAGAAAAGATGGAGTGGAATAGAATAGAATAGAAGAATGGAATGGAATGGAAAATATGGCATGGGATAGAATAGAATAATAATATAATATAATAATAATAATAGAATAGAATAATAATAGAATAGAATTAATGGAATGGAATGGAATGGAATAAAAAATACAGAATGGCATGGAAGAGAATGCAGAAAAAATGCAGAATAGAGTACAACCGAACAGCAATAGCACTTATATACCACTTTCACTGTGCTTTTACAGCCCTCTCCAAGCAGTGTACAGAGTCAGCCTATTGCCCCCAACAATCTGGGTCCTCATTTTACCGACCTCGGAAGGACAGGAGATTGAGTCAACCTTGAGACCCGTTAGGGTTGAACTTCAGGCTGTGGGCAGAGTTGGTCTGCAATTCTGCATTCTAACCACTGCGCCACCAGGGCTCTACAATGGAAAGAAGAATTTGCCTGCAAAACAAAACAAAAATCTGTGCTGCGTGCCCACCATGCCTTCTTAATGTGACCACCCTAAGTTCATATCACATGACCCCCGTATTTGGCACTTCATCAGTTATTTTCATCTCTCGTCGGTCTCCTTGTTTCAAGCTTATCAGTCACCGAATCCCCAAGCAAGCTTTCAGTATATAGTGTTTAAATAGTTGCAAGCATTGATGTTAAATAAAAATGAAAATAATGTGGGTTTCTTGCTTGATTGAAAGCTCTTCCCCTTCTCCTAAATAGAGGCAAAGGCTTTGGAAGGTGTTTCCAAACTCGGCATCTTGTGCTTCAAATGGCAATAACCAAGATCATAGATGGCACAGCTGGCATTTGCTTACTTATTTCTCTCTTTCTTGCTCTAGCTACGAAATACAGCTGGAAAACAAAGCAAGGAGGAAAGGCCTCGGCAAGTTTCTCATCCAGATCCTGCAGCTTGTGGCAAATAGGTAGGGCTGTGCTTTCCCATTGTTTCTGAGCTACAAATCACTCCGGCGTCCCTGGAGGCTCCCTGCGGATTTTATTCCGCTTAGTAGTTGCCGATGGTAACGAGGCAGCGCTGTCCGAAGACATATTCCGTGGTCATGTGGCCAGCATGATGACATGGAGGCGTTGTGACCTTCCCGCCAAAGTGGTACCTATTGTATCTACTTGCATTTGCGTGCTTCTTAACATGCTCGGTGAGCAGGAGCTGAAGTGAGGATGGGAACTCGCCCCGTCTCATGGTGTTTGGGGTTCGAACCTGGGCTGTTGATTTTCCAGCTGACGAGCCCAGTGTCTTAACTGTTGAGCCACAGTGCAGTCAATCTCATTGGGGAGGGGGGGGCAAACTTTATTGATGTTTAACAAGACCAACTCTCCACATTAAAACCTGTGATATTCCAACCTGAATGTTACAGATTTAATTTAGCCAGGGGCGGGCTCAATATATCTCTCATTTATTCTTTACTAAACTAACATTGGGGAAGCGGTAGCTCAGTGGCTAAGACGCTGAGCTTGTCGATCGAAAGGTCGGCAGTTCAGCGGTTCGAATCCCTAGTGCCGCGTTCCTGTTTTTCTCTCGTCCTATTCTGATTTTGCCTCTCCCTGACTTTTCTCAGCACACAGATGAAGAAAGTCATGTTAACGGTCTTCAAACATAACCACGGAGCCAACCAGTTCTTCAGAGAAGCTTTACAGTAAGTCAAAGATTTGGTTTCATCGTTCTCTCTTTCCAAGGCAGAAAGAAAACAAGGGGATCGCTGAATAATTGGGGGGTTTTTTTGTAAAAAAAAAAAAAAAGCCTTTTTAGCGCATCGCCTCCTTGCTTAGACTAGAGTGTTCACCCTGTTAAAATTATTTTGACCATTTTCCCCCAAATACGATCCAACTTCTATTCATAAAACACCAGCTGGAGGTCTGTGTGTGGGCCTGCTTTTTTAAAAAAGAATTGTCCTGACCCTTTAGATTTGAAATAGACGATACCTCACCGAGCATGTCTGGCTGCTGTGGGGAAGACTGCTCCTACGAAATCCTCAGCCGGAGAACCAAATTTGGCGAGAGCCAACAGGCTCACTTGGGCACTCAGTGTGGGGGCTGCTGCCATTGAGGTGCTCCTTCCGAAATAACCCCGTCGCCCTCCACGTAAGCGTGCCTTCCTCGTGGCTTCTCTTGACCTCTCATCCCCCCACAGCCTCTCCAATTCTTGCAGCGTTCTCAAAAGTCAAGAAGGACACAACTCCTGGGGTTACATGCTGGATCCCGGGATCAGAGATCCCCGGTCCTTTAAATCAAAAGCCGAGATTTTAGGCCTGATCTTGCTTACCTGCAGCCTTGAACTGAAGGTGGGAATCTGCGGTGCGGGGTGGGGTTTTTTTCCCCCTCCCTCTCTTTTTCTTTTTTCCATGGAAAATTGATGACGGGGTTCCTGCCTAAAGGCATTGACAAGAATTAGTGAGCCTTTCTCTGTGGATGAAGGATAGACTTTGGGGTTTGGCAGATCAAGGCGATTTGAGATGTTTTTTTTTTTTTTCTGTATTCCTTCTGTGCCCGTTTCCCCACTTTCGTGTTTGAATAATTTGCAACACCGGGTTTTATCGTTTCGCCGGAGAACTACAGCAGGTTTTGAAAAAAACGAACATACTTCCTCTAAATCAAATCGTTGGGAAGATCTTCACCGGATGTGCGCGTGTGTTTTGAAGCAACTCTTTGTTGTCTGGGCTTATAGGAGGAAAGAGGGATCCACACAGATTTTTAGAACTGGATCCTATGTATAACACGGTTGCAACTGGTTATATTTCCCTCCTTGTGCGTTGAGGGGACAATAATCCGCCCGAACGGATTACTCCACACGCAGCCTGCTCTCGGTCAGCTCCCAACTAGATCTTCAGCCTAACTAAAATGGCATGATTTTTTCTCAGCCAGCTGTGCTAGAAACAACTCGGAGCGGTTTTGTTGTCTGAAAGTTCCCAGTAGGAGCAGTTGTGCAAGAGCAAATAATTCCAGTTCGCTAGGACTGTGTCCTTATTGTTTAGGAAGTCCTCTAGTTCGTTGGTTTTGGAACTAAAAACTGTCAGCAGACATGGCCCCATTATGATACATTGGTTTAATCAACATCTTGATTTTCCTTTTAGACTTTTGCATTGATGGATTTCTCTCCCCTTCCCTCCCCCCCCCAAAAGGGGAGAAAGGTGATTGAGCATGTTGAGTGTGGCATGCAAAATATTTTACATTTTGAATCTGAAATAATATACTTTTGTATATCTAGTGGATGTTTCCTCATTTTATTTTGCCCTTTTTTTTTTGGGTAGTTTTGTTTCACAGAACCAATTTCAAGTTACCTGCTTCTTATTAAACCGGTAACTTTTTGCTGGAATCAAAGGGGAACAACCTGATTTATTTTTAAATGAAAAGGTTAACTGGAGTGGTGGTGGTAGGTGCAGTTTGTCTGTTTTTTAAAAAATAAACATTCTGTTTGATCTCCAGTGGGTTGTAAATGATGTGTTCTCAAGTATAGCTTCCCTTGTGATGTATTTCGGGGTTCTTTTTTAAGAGTAAAATTGGGTGCTCTGCTTTTGCTAAACATTCAAGAGAATATCTTTTGTGTTGAACAGTTGGAGAAGTTTCTCTCTCTTTTGAATACTTTTCTACGGACCACTTTAAAAAAGTCACAATTCCAAATGAAGAACTACCAATTCTCTTCTTCGGTTCAAGAGTTTTCATTTCTTCTTGTTCTTATTGGATGCCGACTGTCATCCTCCCAAGGCCTGTTATAAAAATGGGTATTTGAGTTTGCAAATGAGATGCAAGCCAAAAAAATAAAAATAAAAATGGAAGCGATCCCTTTGTATGTCGAAAAATCAGCTTTCTGTTCTGACTCTTAAAGCATTTTTCTTTCTGAATTCTGGGAGTTGAAGTCCACACATATGCTCACTGGGGAATTCTGGGCGTTGAAGTCCAGACCTCTTCCAAGGCTTAGTGGATGCGGTTGTGGAGAGCAGGGCCCCAGTTGAATCAATAGTTTTACATCCAAAAGGTAAAGGTTTCCCTCACAAATATGTGCTAGTCGTTCCCGACTCTAGGGGGCGGTGTTCATCTCCGTTTCAAAGCCGAAGAGCCAGCGCTGTCCGAAGACGTCTCCGTGGTCATGTGGCCGGCATGACTCAACGCCAAAGGCGCACAGAACGCTGCTCCCTTCCCACCAAAGGTGGTCCCTGTTTTTCTACTTGCATTTTTTTTTACGTTTTTTTGAACTGCTAGGTTGGCAGAAGCTGGGACAAGTCACAGGAGCTCACCCTGTTACGCGGCAGCACTAGGGATTTGTATCACTGAACTGCCGACCTTTTGATCGACGGGCTCAGCGTCTTTGCCCCTGAGCTACCGTGTCCCTTTTACATCCAAAGACAGGTTGAATTTCTGGCAGGATGGCCCAGAAGGCAATGGCTGCACTTGCCACCTGAGACCTGCCAGAATAAGCTAAAAATAGAAACGTTGAGCTATAAACAGAAGTTGACAAGTAGCCAACTATCCTATTTTTGCCTGGCGATTGGGCTAAGCCAGCCCAGAATGATTACGCCATGACTCACTGTGTGGTCGGAGCCCAGAAAATTGGGCTAATTGCATAAACAATGGTTAGTTCCAGGAGGGGTGGATGTATCGCACAAACACAGCTGCCATCTTATCTTCTGCGCTGGTGGCTTCCTTTGTCGAGAAGCCGAAATATATCTGCCAGAGGTGTCCCACCTGGCTGCTTAGCTGACCAGAAAAAAAAAGCTAGATTCTTGGCACCTCTAAGGCTTGGCCAGTCTTTGCTCCCTGCCAATAACAGGACTTAAACATTTCCCCATCTTGTTCCCTGCTCAGGACTGTTGAAAACAATCTTTTTTTTTTTTTTTTAAACACAGTCCCTGAGTACTTTTATTAATTACCTTGTCTCATCCCCAGCAGGGAGTGAACCGCTTTCGTAAAGATAATACTTGTAAACAGATATCTATAAGCAATAAAAAGCCAAAGATAAGGATCAGCTAAGAACCTTGCAGATAGAAATGCCAGTTCTTATCTGATTATATCCGAGAGTATTTTGCTGAGACTTCCATTCAAAGACACACACACACACACACAAACGCACAAAGACTGAACACAGCCAGGGTATCACTGCTGAGAAAACTTAGCAAAGGAACATTGATGGGCCGGATAGCTTATTCTCCGTCACCCACAGGTTATTTGGATGACTTATGGGTTACTGTAAACTAGTAACCTACTAGTTTACTGGGCTTCCTCCAACTTGTGGCCTAGCTGTTAACGCCACCAGGCTAGAAAGCTAGTCCCACTTTAGGCATGAAAGCCAGCTGGGTGATTTTGGGCCAATCACCAGGAGACGGTGAGTTCGAGTCCTGCCTTAGACATGAAAGCCAGCTGGGTGACTTTAGGCCAATCCTTCTCTTTCAACCCTACTTGCCTCAGGGTTGTTGTGGGGAAATTGTGAGGTTTGCCGCTCTTGAGTTATTTGTAAAAATAATAAAGGCTAGATAGATAGTTAGATAGATAGATAGATAGATAGATAGATAGATAGATAGATAGATAGATAGATAGATAGATAGATAGATAGATAGATAGATAGATATAGATGAGAGAGAGATGAGAGAGATGATAGATATAGATGATAGAAATGATAGAATTGATAGATAGATAGATAGATAGATAGATAGATAGATAGACAGACAGACAGACAGACAGACAGACTGACTGACTGACTGACTGACTGACTGACTGACTGACTGACTTTTGCAGTTCCCATCGAGCATGGCTGTCTCCACCAGCAAGGAAATAAAAACGAATGGATCATTTAATGCATCTTCTCAAATTTTGGGAGTGCGCCGTTAAACAAGCTTTGCCCCATTCTGTCAAAAAGAGACGGAGGCCTCACAGTGAAGCATCCTTTTTCCAAAAAGAATAGGAAATGGGGGGGGGATGTCCTCAGGTTATGACAGCTGCCAACAAAAATCACACTTCCCCTCTCCTTTGCGGAGAAAGCCCTTCTTCCACAGGCCTGGAATTTACAGCATTCTTGACTATTTTGGGTAGAAAAAGAAGGGCAAAGGAGCCTTCCTTAAGAAGCGTGATCAGCAGTTGTCAAACAACTCCAAAGTGTAAATCTTCTAAAAAGTCAACCCCCATCCCCTTCTGGTTAAAAGGTAAAGGTTCCCCTCGCACATATGTGCTAGTCGTTCCCAACTCTAGGGGGCGGTGCTCATCTCCGTTTCAAAGCCGAAGAGCTGGCGCTGTCCAAAGATGTCTCCGTGGTCATGTGGCTGGCATGACTCAACGCCAAAGGCGCCACGGAACACTGTTACCTTCCTACCAAAGGGGGTCCCTATTTTTCTACTTGCATTTTTTATGTGCTTTCGAACTGCTAGGTTGGCAGAAGCTGGGACAAGTCACGGGAGCTCACCTTGTTATATGCGGCGCTAGGGATTCGAACCGCTGAACTGCCGACCTTTTGATCGACAAGCTCAGCGTCTTAGCCACTGAGCCATCGTGTCCCCCTGTTCTGGTTAAAGCTTGCCTGATTAAGACCACCCACCCCCTTTCTTTGTCAAAAGTGCCGGTTTCTTCAGCAGTCGATGCAACTTGTGATATTTTGGGCAGTCTCCAAGGAGCAGGCTAACCTTTTTCTGCTCTTGGCATGTCTTCGGCTGATGTGTTTCTCATCATTGCAGCCCCAGCTGGCCAGGATTTCTCCCCTTGTCACTTGGATAACTGACAGTTTCCTTTTTGGAAGCAAAGCCAAACAGGGTGTTTATCTTTCATATACTCTTTGCGGCTTGAAAAGACATAAGGGAGGGATGCTGGGTGAACAGAAAGGGAGAAATGACAACGAAAGTGGATTGGAAAAACCTATTCAGGTAGTCCTCGACTTACCACCACAATGGAGCCCAACATTTCCATGGCTAAGCAGAAGAATTACCATATTTTTCAGACTATAAGACATACCTTTTTGTCTCCCAAAAGGGGGTGAAAATGTCTATGTATCTTATAAACCGAATATTGTCGAAGCCCTGCTCACCTGCCAGCTATTTTTTTTTTGGCCTCAGGACACCCTGTTTTCAGGCCTTTTTTTTTGGGCCCATTTTCGAGTCTTTTTGGCCCATTTTTTGAGGCTTTTTTGGCCTGTTTTCGAGGCTTTTTTGGCCTGTTTTCGAGGCTTTTTTGGCCTGTTTTCAAGGGTTTTTTTGGCCTGTTTTTGAGGCTTTTTTCGGCCCATTTTTTCAGAAAAAACGGGCCTTGAAAATGGGTTGAAACAGGCTGAAAAAAGACTGGAAAAGGCCTGAAAAAGCTAGGCCAAAAACGTTTTGTTGTTGTTTTCCTCTTCTAAATTTAGGTGCGTCTTCTAGTCTAAAAAATACGGTAAGTTACTTTTACCTCATTGAACAACCTTGGCACACTTATTAAGTGATTCACTGCAGTTGTGACCTTATAGTGACACGGTTGTTAAGTGGGTCTGGCTTCCGCATTGACTCTTGTGATGACGTGACCTCGGGATAACTTCAACCGTCATAAATATGAGTTAGTTGCCCCAGCATCTGAGTTTTGATCCCGTGACCATGGGGGAAATGCCGCAACGGTTGCAAGGGTGAAAGGGTAGTGGTGTCACTTTTTTTCAGTGCCGTTGTACTTTCAAGCGGTCAGTAAATGAACGGTTGTAAGTCGAGGACACCCTGTAGGTGACTTTTTCCAACAAAGGAAACAAACCTGTGTGTTTGTATGCATTGAAAGATTTAGGATTTGATTTAATTCAATGTTAATTTGCTAGAAATCGTTTACAAACCACCCACAACTCTCACAGAAAAGAAACTTTTAACCATTTTGTAAAATTGTGGGTGGAGGGGGTGAACTCTTCCCCCCTCCCCCCAAATTCCAAAAGAAAATAATTTAAGCCCACATGAGCCCCTTCAGTAACAGTAACAGGAAGGGACCTTGGAGGTCATCTAGTCCGGGGGTCCCCAACCTTTTGGACCTCAGGGACCACCAAGTTCATAATTTTAAATCCCGCGGACCACTAATACGAATCCAGAGCGCCGCTTGAAGCGCCTGGACTCCCAGTGACGGGATGGGGTCCTTCAGGCATTCTCCCTCCTCTCTCTTTCTCCCCCCTCTCTTTCTCTCTCTCCCACTCTTTCTCATTCTCTCTGTTTCTTTTTCTCTCATTCTGTCTCATTCTCTGTCTCTCATTCTCTCTGGTTCTGTCTCTCATTTTCTCTCTTGCATTCTCTTTTTCTTTCTCCCACTCTCTTTCTCTCTCCCCTCTCTCTTTCTCTCTCTCCCCATTTCTTTCCCACTTTCTCATTCTTTCTCTCCATTTCTCCCCCTTTCTCTCACTCATTCTCTCTCATTCTGTTTCTTTCTCTCATTCTGTCTCTCATTCTCTCCCCCTTTCTGTCTCATCTCTCCCTCTTTCTTTCTCTCTCCCACTCTCATTCTCTCTGATTCTGTTTCTGTCTCTCATTCTCTCTGGTTCTGGCTTTCTCTCTTTCTCTCTCTCATTCTTTCTTTCTCCCACTCTCTCCCCCTTTCTCTGTCTCATCTCCCCCTTTCTCCCACTCTCATTCTCTCTTTCTCTCTCTCCCCTCTTTCACTCATTCTCTCCCCCCACTCTCTTTCTCTCTCCCCCATTTCTGTCTCATCTCTCTTCCCCCTCTTTCTCTCCCTCATCACGTCGCCCACCACCAAAATTTTCTCCCGGACCACCGGTTAGTGACCACTGATCTAGTCCAACCCCCTGCTCACTGCTGTACTAGGGATTCGAACCGCCGGCCATCATCATCATCTCCAACCCTGAGCATCATAT